ATTCTAGTTGCCCTTTTCTGCACTTTTTCCAATGTTATAATATCCTTTCTGAGGTGTGGTGTCCAGAATTACAGACAGTATTCTAAATGAGGTCACACCATTGATTAATACAAGGACATTATGATACTGGCTGATTTGTTTTCAATTCCCTTCCTAATAATCCCCAGCATAGTGTTGGACTTTTTTATTGCAGTTGCACACTGTCTCGACATTTTCCAGTGAGTTATCTACTATGACTCCAAGATGTCTCTCCTGGTCAGTCTCTGCCAGTTCGGACCCCATCAACGTGTATTTATAGTTAGGATTTTTGGCCCCAATGTGCATAACTTTGCACTTGGTCACATTGAACCCCATTTGCCATGTTGATGCCCACTCGCCCATCCTTGACAGATCCCTTTGGATTGCCTCATAAACCTCCCATTGGCTTTCAGCACTGCTTGCCATCATGCAACTGAGCAGCAGCAATTGAGTTCTTTGTTTCCTGATCCCCTTCTATAGACAAATCAGATGAGAGAATCTCTCCAGCAAGATACAGTAATCAGAAAATAAATAGCATAAGGGAGTCTGTGTTGTATTGTACAATTAACAGCTGTCATTGTAGTAATATACCAGAGCACTCAGAAATCCTCCATGTTTTGAGAACACCACTGTGTCTACATTTTACTATGCTTGTTATGTAACAGCTTTTAAATACCTCATATCCATATGAAAACAAAATATATATGTTCCCATTATAATTGATTTTTTCCTGTGCAAGGAAAATCAGAGATATATCCAGGGGCACCCAGCAAGGTTGCAAAAACATTAAGAGGCCAGGGGAAGGCTTGACATGGGCATTCATAAATGTCCTTGTTCCTTGTAGGTCTCTGAGTCGGATTTCCCAGTCATCATTGCATGTATGAATTTAATTTCCATCATGAAATACACACCTACAAAAATTCTCTTTGGGTGCACTAAAAATCCCATGCTGCAGGGTGGAGCAAATGGACAGCTGTTTCTGCATGGTGCCAGGGAGTATCCATTGCCAGCGTGCATAGACAAACTATTTGGAATTAAGGCAATGCACTCCAGTCCTGCTCACTGCTGGTGAGGAAGCAGCATCAATATCATTTCCAGAGCAATCCTACACTGCTAAAGGCCATTTTAACTATGGACCATACTGCAAGCGACAGGTGTGGAAGAACCTTCAGCCACTCTCTGAATCCTTACTGCTTTGTCAAATAAGCTTACGTAAGACAATGAAGCCAGACATTCACATGGGTATATAGCCATCAACAACCCTATGCCAAGTAGAGGGATGCAATTTTTTTCAGTGTCTTGATATTATTCTGCTCATCAGCCTGTTTTGATCACTCAACACACTGGTGAATGCGTACAGTCTATTGTCTGCCATAATCATCCCCCAATTCTTTTTAAAGCAGTTGATTAATTATCATACATCTTGGAAACCAGTCTTTTATTTTTCTGTTGAATATTAGATTGCTGCTTATACCTCCATGTTTAAGTTCACCAAGATAATTCTCAACAGTAATTCTGTCCTCTGGCATTTCTGTAGTTCTTTCCAGTTAACATGGAAATCTGCAACTTAATGACTGCAAACTCACTCTTATCATGTTTTTATCCCACCACACTTCCATGGAGATCATGGTGGCGTGCATGCTCCTTCGCCCTTGTCCCATCCCTGGGAGGCAAGTCAGGCTTAGAAAGAGAGTAACTAACGCAGTGAGCTTCCTGTCTAAGTAGGATTTGGACCTGGGTCTCCCAGATTCCAGTCAGGCACTCTAACTACTATATCTCACACTATGTCAAGTGTTCTATATACACAGTGAAAAGCTACCAAGCTCTACCTAATACTTCCTCCCACTCCAGTTTCAAGCTATCCACTTACCTTTTGAAAGATACTTTTCAATAAGTTTGGTGCCCTTTTTATAAGGGCTACTTCAATCCTATGTTTCTTAGATGAAGCCTTGCTATCTCTATAATGAGGTCAAAGGCCATTATAAATTATTTTGAAGTAAGTCTGCAAGGCATTTTACGATAATCTCATCCATCCTCTGAACAATCTTTTGAAATAGGTTGTTCTTTCAATTTTACAGAGCATGGGTTGTGTGAATTTGGCTTTCAGTTCTCTGGGTTCTTCCCTGCCCTAACTGAAGCTGGGGGATATTGGCCCAGTGCATACTTGGCTGTGATTTAATTTGAATTCAAATCCCAGTCCAAAACTCTGTTGACTGAACCCTCTCTATATTTTGTGCTATTTCCCGTTTCTACTGAACCTGTTTTCTTATCTGGAAAGGGAACTAATTAACTTGTCAGGTTTTGTTCTCACTTTGACTTGAATTAAATATGCTTTTTTCTATAGGTGTGTATATATATTCATTATGTTAGGATTTGTTCTAATTGTCTCCAGGCATGGAAAATAAGTAGTTTTGAGTTCTTTATATTTTTTCATATTTTTCCCTCTTATTTTCTCCTCTTTTTGTTTTTTTTATACGTTTGAGTATTTGTTAATGAACAGGCCCTATCTATCAGCTGGAGAACTTAAAACTGTCTTTCACTGGCTTATCAAAGTATAGTGCTTAAAAGGATATTGTGAGGTTGTTATAGAAAATAATAGCAAAATGGCTGTTAAAAATTGCTATGACTTTCCAAACCACCCTCACAAAATACTGGTTGAATGCCTCTTTTTTTGCCTACAGGTAAAATGTATTTGTTAGCCTGAGTTTTGTATGAATAAGAATGGCCACACTGGGGGAAAAGACACAGCCAAAGCGCTGCTTTTTTGAGCCGCATCAAAAGAGACGCGTGGTGGCGGGATCAGACAGATCCCCCGAGCCACCACGCAGTTTCTCCCTGGCACAATCAGATGCCAGGGGGGAAGCCACGGAACGGAGAGCAAGGCAGCCCGCTGCGCATGTGCGCGCCTACGTAGTTTGGCCGGGGGCCTCGCATGCTGCTGGAGACAGGCGTGCCAGCGATCCCACGGCCGCCCTTGATGTGGATTTTCAGGTAGGTACTAGTGTTTCCTAGGGGTTTTTTTGATGCGCAGTTTCGGCGGTAAGGGACGGATCGGGGACGGGTGCGCTCCGCTTCCCAGATGTTGCTGTGTGATCACGCCCATTGGATCCGCCCCCGATCCGTCCCTCTTGTGGGGCAAATCCTCCTGTGTGACCGGGACCAGTGTTCTTTATACAGAGTTAAGGAAATGTAGGGGTACTTGGAGAAACACATAGTGAATTCAGATAACTAGAACTTTGAACAAAATTAAGGTTTCAAGGACTTCCGGTTTTGGCAACTTGCAGGCGGGTGTCCTCTATCACAGCTTTGATGTGAGCGCCCCACAAACGTGTTGATGGGGGGGGCTGAGTTGAACTTGGACCTCCCGGGGCCGCAGCCTGGGGTACGAGAGGTTCCTCTCTCAAGGCGGAAGCCAAGGGATTGAGGCACCTTTTTTCCCCGATAGGCCCCCGCGGCACGGAGCCAGCACGGCACTAAGAGGCACACACCGGACAGAGCACACAAGGATCCCAAGAAATGATCCTCTCTACATGCCAAGCGAACGCAAGTACAAACATGAGTGAAGCCATGATCCAGCAAACAATCAATAAATCGCTACTAGTAAAGCCTCCCCAAAGCCCCAAACAAGCGGAAGGGGAATGCCCAATCCCGAAATGACTGAGCTTAAAGCAGGAGGCTGAAAGGGCAGCTCAAAGGAAGCGGATTATGATGAAGTGTGCAGCAGACCAGCAAGAAAGCGATGAATTCTAGACTTACGGAGAATTTTTAAACTTTCTTCTTGTGTAAACAATGACTCAGTGAGCAGAAAAAATGGCATCAAAAGCGAAACTTATAATACGAACTGCCAGCACAGCATCTCCAGCTACCAGACTGGAAGTAACCACAGACTTTCCCAAACTGACTGATGTAGCTTTGCGCCCTCTACTGGATCAGATGACCAACCTTAACGTCAAGCAGGATATGTTGCAAAAGGAACTCAAAAAAAAAATTTCAGCGAGAAAGAAATAAAGCGGATGTTCCTGAAGCAACAACAGAAAGCAGAAGATGAACCTGAGAAAGTGGAGGAGAACAAAGACACAGAAGAAGAAGAAGAAGAGAAAGATGGGGAAGGCTGTGATACCATCCCAAAGAGTCTGGCAAAACTCTTTGATCCTGAAGCTGTTGCCCCTAAACCAGCTAAAAATTAATTTGGACTTTGATAAGAGGAAAGGAATTTGCAAAACAGATTAACTTTGATAGCCTGTTGTTTACTTTTAAAGCATAACTTTATTTCTATGATATTTACATCTTAGTTAAAGAGATTGTGATTGCTTGCTTAACACTTTTGCAATAGTAATTTTCATGTTTTACTACTAAGATAACAGAGATGTATCAACAAACTTATACTTCTGTATTATGTATCCGTGTTACTCTTTATTTTAGGTTATTCCGCTACCCTGACCTTGTAGTTTTGTAGATTAGAAAATAAATTTTTTAAAAATTAAGGTTTCAAGGACTGGTGGCTCAAAATCTCTGGCTGAAAGGAAAAACCAATTTAGTTTAGACTGTTACCCAAGAACACTTTCCGTCTTCAAATATAAGAGTATCTAAAGTAATTTTTTTTCTTTTCAAGGTGATCATTGTGTGACTAAAAAGAACACCTGCAGTTGTTCTGCTGAGAATGCCATTTATAAAGGATACCAGTCTTCATTCTTGGGAGCGTAATTTAATATCAACAAACATCTGCCCCCTTTCTATAGGTTTGCATAACACCTGCAGTTACACCAAGGACAAAAGGGATGCTGGGTTACTCGAACCTTTGATCTTCTCCACAGTGGCAACTCTTTGCAAGCATTGATTTGCTGGGAATGGCTAAACTTATCTGTTTTGCTAAAGTTGTTCTTTTCTGGAGTCCTATTGTTAGTGTGGAATTTGGAATCTGTTCTCTTCCAGCTTCTTATCATCGTCTCATAGCTTCTTTTTTATTTCATTTGTTTTTATAGAAAAAGAAGAATTGATCCAGAATTTGCTGGCACAGGTGGTTGAACAATTCTCAAGGTAAAATGTTTACAAGGTTGTTCTATGATATTGTCGTTATGTGTAGATTTGTACATAACCACCTCTGAATAGCATATTTTAGAACAGGCCCTGCAGCTTTTGGGGTGCTATTCAGTGCACCAAATAAGGTATGCCTGAATCACTGAGGCATTTATGCAGACTGGTCAAGAAGAGAAAAGTGAACTAATGCAATCCTATGCACCTTTATTTGGGAGAAAATCCCACTGAACCCACAGGGATTTACTTCTAAGTAAACATGTGTAGAATCACCCTGCACTTTGTTCTGCCATCTTTTAACTTAAACAAGGAAAGAAACTCTTCACCTATATGGATAGGATCTCTGTTGGGAGGGAAAGGATGCCTGTTTTTCCACTCTTGTAAAACTATTCTAATCCCAGTGATTTTTGGACCTTAAGTGGTCTTCAGGGAACTCTTGGGGTTAGGAACTCCATAAGAAGACCAGCAATGACAGAAACACTTCCCTTGGGAGAACAGTTTGCCCATTTTAACAGCTGTTAAGGGTTGTGCCAGGGTTCATCCTCACTCCATCTGGAACAGCAATGTGTGGCATTTAGAAACTTCCCAGAACCTTCTGCAACTAGCAGGGATTCCATGGCAGATATGCAATGGCTCCTTGGCAAACAAGTCAACATGGAAAAGTTCTCTGATACTAAAAATCTGAAAGCCAGTGATTGAGACCGTAAGAACTCAGCACCACTGAAAGCTGCTGTGCAACTGAAAAATAATGTAGTATAGACTAGGGTTGCCAGGTCCCCCCTGGCCACCAGCTAGGGATGGTAAACACAGCATTAGGGGAAGTATTATTTTATCAGGAATCAAAATCAGGTATTTACATTAAGAAAGTAAACATTTATGTACACTTCTTAGAATCTTTAAGACCCCAGCCCAGAGTCTGACGTGTGACAAGAACAGAGTCCTTGCCAGACATTTAATGGAGAGCTTTGAATATCCTCACAGCAGACTGCTTCATGCTCAAAGCTTCCTACTTCATTCAAATGAATGTGAAAGGCTTGTGGGCTGAGTGAACTCCAGTTGCACATTGGAATCCTTATTACCAACAGACGGCTGTACCGGGGCAGCAGCAGCTTGTTATTAAGGCTTCTTCAAAGGTGGAATTAAAAAAAAATCTTTAAATTCATACAAAGTCTTTGGTGTGTTTTCCCACTAGGAGAACGAGGGACTCGGGTTTCTAATAAAATTACTTAATTGTGCAGCTATAAAAAATAAGTGCTTGCATTCCTATATGAGATCTTTTCCCCCCCTCCAGGGTATTTAAAATCAATGAACTGAGAACTGAAGTAGCTAATCACTTGGCAATGTTGGAGAAAAGAGTTGAATGTGAGTGTCATTTTTTCCCCCTAATTGAAACTTGGAACTGTTTTGTGTAAAGAAGGTACGAGACCTGAGGGGGTATACCTTTTTATGAATATTTGTTCTACCTTCATGTTTTGTGAGATATAACATTATCTGCATGGGGAGGGACATAAAATACATCTAAAAGTAAGCTTCTAGTTTTACATACCTTATTATCTGGTTAGAATGAATATTTGAAAAGATCATGTATAGACCCGTTTCTTTTAATGCATACCTTTCATAATCATATTCTGTACATCAGTTGGCAAGACAACCCTTCTTGTGGGGTACATATTCCCCAAACAAGGCTCAGACATCTTACAGTGCAATCCTGTGCAGAGTTTCTCCAGTCTAAGCCCCTTGAAATCAAGTAACACTGCATAAGATTGCACTAATATAGTCAGATCCTACACGTTTGCCTAGAAGTAAGTGCCGCTTTGGGGAATATTACTAAGTATGCACAGGACTGGTGCCTGGGAATCGTTAACAAAGTCTGCAGTCCATCCCCACGTCTGTCTTGATATACATCTCTTCCACTTTCTTCCTCCGATTTATTTCCAACGATTGTGATTTTAGGCTATATACTGCCTTTCCAGATATGAGAAAAGGAAAAATATCCTGTTTTGGTTACTTAGCAGCTACAGGCTCCCCTCCCCCCCCCAGATGCTTCCAAAACCAGGAAACTCAAGGAACTCCAGCCAGCATACTGGAAGTCAGTATGACTTTGCCATGGTTGAGATGTAACAACTACACGTTTAGGATGCCAAAGCAGGATCCAGCATATGGGACAGCAAGAGTGCTTCCTCCCTCCCTCCCTCCCCCCTCCAAACACAGAACTCAAAGCAGCCATGCAGTTTCACATCCACCATGAGAGATGGGTTAGACTGAGAAAGTGTATGTGAAGGAGAGTACACAACTGGCTGTAGTCCATCCAGTGCATTTCATGACTGAGCAGGGATTCCAGTATCCCTGGTCCAAGTCCAACGCTATATTCATAAAAACCACATGGCTCTCAGTCTTGCGCCTCCCTACAGCCCATGCCAGTTCCTTTCCTTTTAAACCTTACGAGTTCTTTGGACAGCATGTCTTTTTTTGAAGAGCTTGACTGGGGAGGCTGTGGCCCCCAGTGTGCAAGGTGCTGCACGGAGGCAGTTCATGTGCAAACGGGCTCTGCATATGGGTTCAGAAATTTTCTTTTAAAATAAATTATTTTCTCAAAAAAAAGTGGGATACAGAAGGGAAGAAAGGGTAAGGGGGGAATATAAATTCATCAGGCTTGTCAAATATTATGAGTTGTTATGTACAACAGGTAAAATCAGATGTATTACCAAATGTATTACATATTTCAAATACAGAAGTAGACAATAAAACATCAATATTACAAAATTTTAGGATAGATTCTCTCTTTAAAGAATAAACAAGGACTTTCCTAAAGTTAGCGATAATCTATTAACAATAAAAGAGATTACATCTTTAATAATTGAACAAACTTCTATGCTAAAATTAAGTTGTTGTAAAAACCTTAATATTGTCTTAATTGTTTATCTGAATCTACATTTTATTCTTACTCATTATTTAATTACCCTTAATATGATATTCAGATAATTTCAAAACTAAAAAAAAGTTAATTATCCCCATAGTATAAGTAATAAGCTTGCCATTTCTGCTGAAATTCTTTCAACGTCTTTTATTATATAATTGGTTAGTTTTGACAATGTTGCATACTCAGCTAGTCTTTCTTTCCTGATATCTATTGCAGGACAGTCTTCTTTCTTTCATTTCATTGCAAATATTATTCTGGCAGCTGTCAACATATATCTCAGTAGGTCTTGTGAGGTTCTGTCCATATTATCTGGTAGCATTCCCAATAACATATCTCTGGTTTTATAAAGTACTGGGTTTGAGACACGTAATGAAATCAGCTCATAAGTTTATTAGACGCACAAACTAAAGACAAACTAGCCGGTCCAAAGACCAGCTTAAATCCCCCTACTAAATCACACCCTGCTCCCCGTGATAGGTCTTCTATGATACACCCAGAACCCATAGATCCTTTCCTCAATCCGAGCCATCCTATTGGTCCACTCTAGGATCCGTGCTCGGCATTGTTCTCCGATGCAAAGCTACACCCGTTCGCATGGCCACAGGTAAAACTCCAGCCACATGTAAAACTCCAACCACATGCGCGGTCCTTGTTAGTATATAACAGGTTTCATCAGAAATTTGGTTTTTAAGATATTTTGAATTTCTTCATGTATATTTTCCCAGTAACTTTTTGTCTTGATGCAAGTTCACCACATATGGTAAAAGGTGCCATCTTCTTTTTTACATTTCCAGCAAGCCCCTTTGTAATTCTTGTCCATCTTTGCAATATCTTTTGGGGTGACATACCATTAGTGAAACATCTTGTACCAATTTTCTCTTAATGCTCGGCTAGCAATGAATCTAATACCTTTAGTGCATAGGTTTTCCTAACACTGAAACTGTATTTCCTCACCAAAATTTTGCATCCATTTAATCATGCAGGGTTTGACGTGTTCTCCTTCAGAATCATATTGAAGCAATAACTTGTAAATCTGAACTAATAAATGGTCTTTAGATTATCAGACAATCTTTTAAAAATCAGTCAGTTCATTAATAACTCCTCTCTTGGTGCAGATTTTTTAATCTGGAAGCAATTTGAAAGTATATCCACCATTGTATCTCCTTTCCTTCTTCTTTACTCTCTTGCCAGGTCTTGATGCCACCTTGCGAGTTTATCATATCACCATAAGTTATAAAATCATTGTTTCTCCTTGTGTAAGGGTTCAGAAATTTTCATTATGCCATGCAACTCCCCTTTTTGGTGTTTTTTAATTATTGATAATGTGGTGAAATTGTGTGGTTTCTAGTAGAGGATAACTGCACAGTGTTGTTCAAAATATGGATTGTGCCAGTTGTTTGAAGGGCCCTTTGCTAATGCCAAGCACAAAGAAGATGTGATTCCAGTGTAGAAATTCATAGTTGGGGCAATCCATTGCTGAGCCAATCAATCAATTTATTATTACAATCATAGACAGCAAACAATACAGTAAGAGGCAAGTAAATAACAGGTAGAACAGTAAAATTATAAAATATTACAACATCTAAAATTATAAAAAGGAATCTAAAATGTTTAAAATACAGAAATGGTAAACATTAATATTAAGATCAAAGGTTAAAAATAAATCTGGGCCTATCCCCATTGCTGAGTAGTTTTCAAACATTATTTTATTTTTATTTACTTGTTGCATTCATATCCCAGTCTTTCCATTTGTGGAATTCAAGGCAGCTTACATAGGACTCCAAGGAGGTCTCTTGTTGTTCTAGACACTGACTGCAGTAGACCTGGACCTGCTGAGCTCTGTCACATGCCCTGGAACCCTGAGCGATGCTGTCTCCATGAGGGAACATTTCCAGCAGTTTTTCATTTTGAGACCATTATCATGTGAGAATCCACCCACAGACAGGAATTATAACTACAGGGATTGATGTCATGGCTTGATACACAATCTCCACTCAATTCAGGGAAGGACAAGTAGAAACCCAGTGCACGCACAGAGGTGCGAAATAATTGGTTGGATTCTAATTCCTCTTCCATTTGTGCAGTCTACATTTCTGCTTGCCTGAAAGGGGTGGATTTCTGCCAACTGCCCCTTCCCACTGCAGACCCCCATGTTGTAGCCCCAGGTCTCCCAGCCCCCCTGCACTTCAGAGAGCACAGGCTGCAGTAGGGGAGGGAGAGCTCCACTCCACAAGTGCACCCAAAGGTTTAACGGCAAAATGCAATCCTTCGCAGTCTATACAAATCAAACATGTTACAGTACACAAGTATTAACAGTGCTAGTTTCAGGCTCAGCTCTTGGTTACTTAATATTTAAAGAATCACAATATATTTTAGCCTAGTCTACAAATGCAACAGAATGCTGAAGTGATAGAATAGATTATGCTACTTCAGAGCTGCACGTGAAAGATGACATTTTTGAATGCCCTCTCATGTTTAAAACAAAACCCTCCCAGCAACAAAAAAGTTAATATTAAAGAGCAAAGATTGTAGCCTAGCTTACTTTGCTAGTCTTCTACTTACAGAGAGTTTTGCATATGTAGCAGAGCACTCAAAACTATGATTCCCCCACCAGTAGTCTGAAGCAAACAGACCATTCTGACCGCATTCTCTAGAGTAGCATGTGCAGACTAGGTCTAAATAAAGAGAACTGAAATTACTTTTCCCTTGGGAATTTCTTAGTATGTAGCTGTGATTTTCACAGCTTCCTGCTAGATATTTGGGGAATGCTATGTCCCTGTCTCATTTACAGGGATGTTTTAAGACAAGTAAAGGAAGTTTGCCTCATCACAGTACAGTACTTCATATTAACATCTGCAGTGGCTTTGCCAGTGCTTTGATCTATTCGTGTTCTCAGGGAAACTCTGATAAGTGGCAGGTCAACTGAATGTTGTAGCATGTTCACAATAGCTATGGTAACTGTTTTTGTGATCTCCTAAAATCCTGGTAGTTTGTAAAGATATGTGGTGCCAGCAAGTGCCTGCCTGTCCAGAAGCAGGTTGATGACCAAAAGACCCACTGAGTCACTAGGTAACTCCATTGTTCCAAGCCTTTTGAAAGGCTGCACAATTACTGAAATGAGATCCTCCAGGCTTCTCCATGGTAACCCCCCTGTTGTTTCACTTTGTTGACAGTGGAAGGATTGAAAGTAGCCGAGATTGAAAAGTGCAAGAGTGATATTAAAAAGATGAGGGACGAAATGGCAGCAAGGAACAGCAGGTAAGTTCTGGCTTTTTTTGTCCTTGGGGAAAATCACCTCTTGAGAAAAATGTTTGGATTTAAACTCCTAGTGCTTGACCCTAAGCATATAAATTCAAAATTAAATCCCATTCCATTCAATGGGTTTTACTCCCATTCAACAAGGTTTACTCCCACATAAGGGTGCAACGTAATAAACTAATTTATCTGTAATTTTTAACATTCTGACTTTTTTAAACATAAGGCTACGAGCAGCTTATTAAGTATGGGGGAAAGACTTGCTTCTTTAAGAACATATGGCAACTTAATAGTTAAAGCATTTTGTTCCAGATGACTGGAAAAATAACTCTCAAAGAGAGATTAACATCTTGGTTTCTTTCTGTTTACCCATCCGGTAATAAAAAATTCTGGCCCTAGTTTTATGCATAGAACAAAAATTATTCTGCCAAGAAAAACATTTGTTTGGTAAGAGCCTGTTATTTTAAATAGACCTGCTCAGATATGAAATGTAATCTCAGAGAATATCGCAATATATACATGGTAGCACCTCTAGCTAAGGTCTTGTACTATGAGAGACTGTACATGTTATATTTTACCCCAAAATGAGGTATTTCCTTTTGGGGGGAAGATGCCAATCTACTAATGTGATCTATTACCAAACCTGGAGCTGTAATTAAAGCAACAGCCAAAGCAATTAGATGAACGTTATGATAAGCTGCATAAACTCGAATATGGAGGTTTTTCTGCCACTGAAATTCCTCATTAGGACAAGGACACCATCAGCTAAGACATAATTAGAGCTGCCACTAAATGAAATAAGTTGAAAACTCTTTGGAAGCTTCCTAAAGAAGGGTTTTCTTGAGGACAAGAATGTCTGCGCTGCTGCCTTCAAAAGGTTTAACTGTCATGGCTTCCCCTATAGAATCATGGACCATAACATGGTCTATCCTCACAGGATTTAGGATGCATCTGTACTAGGAGTTCTTCACATCATCTGCTGCAGAGAATCACTTAAAGCAGTGTTACTCAACTGTGTTTGCACTTAAAGCCATGTTTTGGGTGTGTCTTGCACAAAACCTTGTATTTTATTCAGCAGAGTAAACATTTATGCAATTCATCTTTGTTTATTTAAATATTTATATTCTGGTTTTCTCTCGAATGGGGATCCAAAGCAACTGACAATATTGTTCTTCCCATTTCTATTTTATCCTCACAACGACCCCGTGAGGTAGGTTAGGCTGAGAGAGAGTGACTGGCCCAAAGTCACCCAGAGAGCTTCTATCACAGAGTAGGAATCTGAACCTAGGTCTAGTCTGACACTAACCAAGCTGTCTCGCCACCTGGCTATTGTCCTTATCTCCTCACCTGCTTTCTCTTCATTATTTTTTTGTTTTATCCTTTTAAGACAAAGTCTCTGATAAAGAAATTGTGCCTTGGATGGGAGGGCGGGGTAAAAATCCGATAGACAGATAGATAATTTTGTCAGTTACAGCAGAAACAAATCCACAGTTATAGAAACTAGCTTATTCAGGATTCCCTCTCAAGGTTTTCCTTCATCTCCCATTGTTTACCTGCATCATTTGGGGTGGGTGTGTAATTTATTTATTGAAAACCCTAGCCTGCAATTCTTGGAGAAGGAAGCACAACTGCACTGGCAATGCTTGAAGATTAGTACCAGAACAATGTGGAGGCAAAACATTAAAAAGAAAGGAAATGAAATGTGACAGGCATACTGGTCTGAAGGGACCCACGCTTACAGCTCATATTAGAGTTGACAAGGCAGGGATGGGGAAAAGGTCAGAGACGGCGGAAAAGGCAGTTGGGTAAGAGATGGGCTGTAATGCAGGAGTAAGTAGGAGCAATCAGGGAAGACTAGGGTGGCTCAGGAAAAGTATTTTGCTAATGAAGGTTTTTTTCTCTCTTACACAAAATATTAAGCTGTATGTTCTGAAACAGTAGATCAGATTACATTTGACTGGTTATTCTAAGCAGCTAGTCCTTCTGTCCAAAGTTACACAAGTTGCAGCGGATGCTCCTTCACCCTTAATCATTACCTGTCAAGAGACCAAGTTGGCATTTCATTTTGGTTCTGAGTTTGCTGATTAATTTGCAGTCACCCCTCAGTTCTGTTATCACCATTCAAAAGAGAAATAAACCAAAGTGCAGAGCTCCCCTTTTAGGGCACTTCTCTTCCCCTGTTAAAAACAAATGTAGAAATCTATACAATTAGTGAGGCAGTTAAGATTCCCCATTAGACTCTTGTTCACAGGGAGGAAACCTGTTCTCGCTTTTGCCACAAAGATTTAAAAGCTGGTAATTCATGGTGTGGAATCTTCCTGCAGTTCTGATTTGGCAATGCACAGTGCATGATACCTCCCAAAATTAGGGACAGCTGAGTACAAACATATAATCCACTGAGCCTGTAGAGTTAATTTAAAAAAACACCCTCAAACCTGGATACTGTGTGCAACACATGAAATAACTTGTGCATTTTGTGACTGATTTTTTTCCTTTGTTTCTGGGGAAACCACTGAAGCCTATTTCCCATGGCATGTCTTTACACCCATGTACACCTCTTTTTTGCATTTCATGAAGATCAATGGAAAACACCAACTTTTTTTTTGCATTTGATATGAGCAAAGAGCCCAAACTTAAAACAATACAACTTCTAAAACTTGTATAACATTCCACCCACTACCAACTCCAGCTTCAGCAGATGGCTCTTGTATTGGCAGCCAAGCCAGAGACTCCACAGCACAGAACACACAGTCAACATATTCGAGGATTGCTGTGAGTCATTTATTTATTCCCTTGCATGGAAAGGAAAGGCTAGGCCTTGCGTGTGTGGCTTTCAATCCCACAAAAGACCTCCTCAGAACTGAGTACAATTACAAGAACCTTCTGGTTTCCTAGGCAACTGTTGCTCAGTAGTTTGAAGCCTAGAGCAGTGTATCCCAGCCAGGGCCCGCTCACTCACTAGGCAAACTAGGCATTGGCCTAGAGTGGGCCGGCCCTTAGGGCACCAAACTGCACCCGCCCCCCCCGCCCCCCGCCAAAAGCCCTGCCTTTCCGTGACTGGGTGACTGCCGCCGCTGCCTTTTTCTCCCCAAGTCTGGCAAGTGTGGACCGGGCAGAGGAGGGATGACCGCCTTGATTCTCTCTGAGCCTTTCAGCGCCTGGCTGCCTGGCGCCATCTGTCTTCTTGCCCTGGCTTCCATTTGTAGGAAGAGGAATCCAAGACCTGGCTGGCGAATGGGGCCCCCAGCTCCTGCCACCCTTGGCCACCCCCTCCCCAAAAGCCCTTTGCCTGCTGAGCCAGGGTGGGGTGGGTGGGAGGCTCTCCTGCTGGCTCTTTCGGACCATTGCCCCGGCGCCATTCCCACCCCCACCCCCCAGTTGGGAGAGCTGGCTCAAAGCAGCCCCTTTGAACCCAGCTTGGGAGGGGCGAAGCGGAGGACTCACCCCACAGAATTGACCTGGGGTGTGTGGTGTCCATGCCCCGCTGCTGGCTGCAAGGGCCATGTGTGTGTGTGTGGCAGGATCTCCCCCGTCCCTGGGCACCCTGGGCTGGGGGAGAGACGAGGCGCCTCCACCAGCACATGCTCCCCACTGCCCCCTTCTTCCTCCCAAGGCAAAACCCCAGGCACGGAAGGCACACCCGAGGAGGAGGACAAGAAGAGAAGACCGTGGCAGTGGCAAACCCCCCTAATACAACACCCCCACACCTTGGAGGCAACACACACCCCCCCCCCCCCCCCCGCTGCTTCTGCGGGTACGCAGAATTTTCCTGATTTCCCATGAGGGGCTGAAACTCTGGGCTCCAGTCAGATCCCTTTTGAGGAGTGTCCGATTCCCCCCACCCCAGCCATCTGAGCACTTCGGGGGTATCAAGATCACCCCAGCCAGGAGCCCCACGCAGCTTTGCTCCACCCTCGGGGTCCCCTGGCTCCCAAGCCCCAGAAGACAACAATGCATACTGGGGGGGGGGATGTGTGTGTGTGTGAGAGAGGGATAGTGTCCATCCTTCGCTTCACCCCAAGCCCTGCAATAAGGCACTCTGGGGCTAAATTAGCAGGTTGCTGGAGTGGAGCGGCAGAAAGAGACCCTCACCGGAGGGAAGTGTGTTTGTGTTGCAGGGCGTTCCCTTTTGAAATCAAGTTGTGGTGGGGCTTCACTCGCCCTCCGCCCGGCTGCTGCCGAGCCCATTTCCCATGTGCGGTGCTTCTCCCCGCCTGGCCACACGCCCGGCCCTGGAGGCCTGGCTTCACACTGCGGCGGTGGGGAGGGACATTTTCGGAGGGATCCCTTGCTCACAGTTTTAATGCCAGGAGCTCACAAAGTAGGATTTTTGCTCACAAGACTCCACAGCTGAGAGGGGGCATTGGTCAGAAGCCTGTCTCAGGATTTGGGTGGGGAGACTCTCTTGCCAGGTGCCCCCCTTCAGGTTAAAGCCATCTACATCCCCAAAAGGGCGCCGTACTGGAAACTGAGGCAACATGGAAATGCATTTGACTTGAGCCAGTGAGTCAATGCAAAGAGAGGTGTGAGCGTTGGCGGCGAAGGCCCTCCCTCGGGGAAGCTCTTTTGCTGAACCCAGTGCAGGGGGTGTGTGCCAGAAGGGATCCACACCTAGGGTGCAAAATAAGCTGGGGCCGGCCCTGTTCCCAGCCTGTAGGTTGAAATTCAACAGTGGGTCAGAACGCCTCCAAAAGTGGGCCAGATCAGTCCTCCATAATGGGAGTTCCAGCCCTTGGCATCCTTCTCTTTCTTTCTTCCTTGCCAGCTTCCCATATTCTCATCTCCCCCTCCCTCTTTGTGACAATAATGAGGGTAAAAAACTACCCGGCTACTAGTAACTTCATGGTGGTAGTCAGTGCAGCTCCTTCAGCAGCTCAACCTCTTGCCCAGCCCCCTGAAGTGCCTCACCACCTTCTACCTGCTGTGGGAGATGTGTTGCACCGAGCCCCTTGCCACCACCCTCTTCATGACCATCCGCCATCTTCATGTATCTCCTCAACCCAGTGCCCTCTGAGTGCACATCCTCAGACTCCTGCTCTGGCCCACCTGGCAGAGTAGGAGGAGATGAATGATCACTTGCTTGGGGTTCATGATAGGGTCAGCTGCACCCTTTGTGTGATGTTTGTTGGTTTCTCAAAAAACACCTAGTTGGGTGCTATAGAAAATAGAATGCTGGAGCAGATGGACGCCAGGGTCATTGGGTGCATTGCTCATAAGATTGCCAGCCCCGTGTTGAGAAATGCCTGGAGATTTGGGGAGCCTATGGAGGGCAGGGTTTGGGAGAGGAGGGATATCAGCAGGATGCGATGCCAGAGTCCCCTCTCCAAAGCAGCCATTTACTCCAGGGAGAAATTCTGGGAGAACTCTAGCCCCCCCCCATACCTGAAAGTTGGCAAAACAGATTATACCAACCTACAGTCTTTGTATGAAATGTTATACAATTTGAGTCAGTGAGATAGGCAGATTATAAATACAGTAATTAATCAATTAATGAATTGATTTATTAACCTATTATGAGTTTTTAATCAGTTAATATACTGGAGCATAGACTTTTCCTTGTGATAATCCACCATTATCACATTCCTGACTCTGTGAAGCCATTATCCTCTATTGTTCCTTCTAATCACCATATCTCTTTGAACTAGATTGAACTATTATGCAGAACATTTTTATTTGTTCTATTATGAACTTTGTAATTTTGAATAATCTTTCAATAAAAAGTTTATTTAATAATAATAATCACCATAATACTGAAAAAGCAAATTATCTAAGCGACCGAGGCAACTGAGATGCAGTAAAAAAAAAATTCCAGGATGGGTCCTGGATTACTTTGTGAAAAACTGCAAGTTCTAACTGATGCTTTGTGAAATCACTGTGGCTTAGATCCCATGAACAAGTTCCATGGACACTAGATGTCTCTGCTATAGAGCATGCTTTCATTTGTGCTGCCACTTCTGCTTGCATACAATTAATGATTTTCAGTGATCCCTTGTGCAAATGGAAATGCTAGCACAGGAGAAAATGCTCTTCAAATGCAAATCCCATCCCATCAATATTACAATGATTGCATGAAATGACTTAACACAAGCAGGTCCTTGCCCTCTCTCACACACGTACATATAAACTGGCTCTGAGTTTATCGATATGTTGCTACAGCATATGATGACTACAATGCAGTACAAACTATTGTTTAAATACTTTTGATTATATTTAAGACTGTTTTTTGTAACTGCTGTGTGTTACAGAAAAAGGAGGATTTCTGTATTTCTACCATATATTCTCTCTGTGTTCTGAATATACAAGAGGTGGACCCGCGATACTCGCGGGCGGGGGAGGCCCCAGCTTGAGCGCGAGGCCCGCGCGGCTTCTGGCCGCCGGGCCTCAGCGCTTCTCCCCTCTCCCCCGAAAAGCGGCTGTGAGGCGGCGGCGGCGCTCCAGAGCGTCCCCTGCGAATGCGCAGGGGATGCTCTGCCAGTGTCGGGGGGATTTAAACATCCCCCCGATTTTTTTCCCGGGGTTTCGGATTTTTGTGCACACGTGGGGACCGCCCCACGTGTGCACAAACCTCTCCCTGCCCCGCAGGTGGCCCCAGAGCGCGGATTTAGATATCCGCACAGATGGGGCAACTTGGGTATTAGATATATAGATGCATGGGATAGAGCAGGTAGAGAAAGAGGTACTTTTCTCCCTTTCTCACAATACAAGAACTCGTGGGCACTCCATGAAATTGCTGAGTGGTCAGGTTAGAACGGATAAAAGGAAGTACTTCTTCACCCAAAGAGTGATTAACACATGGAATTCACTGCCACAGGTGGCAGCTACAAGCATGGACGGCTTCAAAAGAGAATTAGATAAGCATATGGAGCAGAGGTCGCGGCTTCTGGCTGCCGGGCCTCAGCGCTTCCCCCTCCCCCGCAAAGCGGCTGTGAGGCCGCAGCGGCGTTCCAGAGCGTCCCCTGCGCATGCGCAGGGGATGCTCTTCCAGTTTCGGGGGGATTTAAACATCCCCCCAAGGTTTTCCCCCACATTTAGGATTTTTGTGCACACGTGGGGACAGCCCCACGTGTGCCCAAAAATCTCCCTGCCCCCCAGGTGGCCCCGGAGTGCGGATTTAGCGATCCGCACAGACGGGGCCACTTGGCTATTAGATATATAGATTTGCGTATAGGAAAATGCCTGGTAAATCAACAGGAGTTGCAATTCACTTGGGTCCTAAAAGCTTGTTCACAAATAGACAAATACCCTTTAGACCTTTTATTACTGAAAGGCTATGATTGGTCGATGCTGAAGGGAGGACTAAATTTTGCTGTAGGTTATGACTTGGTGTTTAAAATGGGGGCAACTTTATCTAGATGGTTTTCCATAGCTCCAAATATGATAGTCTTCTGAAAAACTGCAGATATTTCTTGTTTTACTATCTAGATGTAATAGTTTTAGTGATTGGACTTAGTTAGGGTTCAATGACATATTTTGTCTTTATTCTGAAGGATTTTTTTTCTTTTGCAAATGGAGCCTCTGGGATTATTTTGTCAAGAAGGAGAATAAGGTGGGGACTGCAGGAAACTTTATTAAGCCTTTCATCCCCTGTCATTTTCTCGTTGGTAAACCATCTCCCTATGCTGCTTTTATGCCAGCTGGGGAAAACTTAGAAGTTATCCATATTTTTCCCTACTGGGAGTAACAGAAGTTCAGGGATAGGTTTTCCCAATAAGAAAAAAGGCAAGAGAAGTAAGTATTACAGTCCCTTTCCTTTCTTTTATATGCCTCTTAGTCTTTGATAAAGCAGCCGCAGAGATTTGCAAAAGAAAAAGGTCACAGGAAATGTAGCTGAGCGGTTAGTGATACTTATTAGGTGATCTGAACAATACATTCACTTGCACTCTCAAAAAATATAAAGTTGTTGTATAAGTACTGAAGATTGAATTTTCTTTTATATACAGGACCAGCTGTCCCTGTAAATATAGCTTTCTGGATGAAAACAAGAAGCTGATACCCCGAAGGGATGTGCCATCCTACCCCAAGGTACAATAAGAAGCATCTTCTTCTCAGAGAATCCTTTTACAGAGCAGATCATCACATCAGTTAATTACTTCATTTCCATCACATATATTAGTTCTTGAAATGAAGAGTATTTATTAATGAATTGATTTCAACCTGATTACTATCTAAATAGTTTGTCTGAAGACACTTTACCTAGGAAATAATAAGTGACAACCAATAGCATTCTGTTATTGTCTCTCGTGGGCCCTGTCCTAACGTTTCTGCTTTTGCTGTTTCATTGACAGATATATTGACATCTACTCTTCTGTTAATGTGAAAGTAGAATTAGAAGTTCCAAACATAATGGGTACCCTGCTTGTTTTTCCCCACAGGTCTTCCTTGGCAGTTGTATACTAAAAGCAAAATATTCTCTCTTAGCTTGTAGAATTTAACCCTGGTTAGAAGGAAAATGGCCTGTATTCAGTCTGCAGATTATTTCAATTGAATTTACCCCTCCCCCAGTCCTAATTGTGTTATCTCAGTCACATTTAGTTGAATGAGATATACCTTAAAGTTCACTTGGTATGAAGCCTTAAATGCCTAGAGTCTAGTCGATACTATGGACTATTGTGACTAAAGGTCAAGCCTGAAAAAAGGCAGGAACATCCATTATCCAGAACATTTTGCAGGAATCCATACTATGTTATGTGTATGCAGGTGTTTCCACTTGCACCATTTCCCTCCACTGAGACAAATGCATACTTGTATGACATGAATCATGAAAGATATTCAGCACTGATTTATTTGTAAATATTCTATGCCACCTTGCTTCTCAAAATCAGGAAGCAATTTTGAAAAACAGAACAAAACCCTATATTTAGATTCAACTAAAATTTAAAGGCATAAAGTAGTAATACTGAGGCCTTCTTTCTGCCCACTAGTGTCACAGGGGGGAAAAACTTGTCTTCAGTGCCAAAGCTCAGGTCCTGGAAACATGTGAGTTATTAGAAAGCGAGTATTACCTTTGAGCATGTGTGGCATGCTTTCTACTCACTAATGAATAACCACCCCAAGCCCCAATGTGTTTGGAGGAAGTGCTTTCAGGTCAGGGCTATGAGTTCCAGAGAGAGCCCCAGCTTCCTGTTTTAAAACACAAACACTGCAACCAGTACTCCCCCTAAAAGCAATTACTTAATAGGGGCATAACTGAAAGATTCTAAAGGAAGGAAGAGGCTTGACAGGGGACACTATCACAGACACTAGTATCAAGGGGGGCAGCAAAGAGAAATAGAGGTTGGAGTAGAGGGGGGAAATGGCACAACACAGGGGTGGTGAACCATTCCTACGCACCCAGATGTCCATGTCTAGGAAGATTAAAGCAGGTAAGAAATTGAGTGCTGGGTCAAGGCAGCTTTTCTGTATCCACCATATAACCACAGACCCCTACTGCCCCAGGCAGGCCTGAATGGCCCCTGTTCAGCCCCTGCTGTTGTGCCCTATAGACAGCCATGGCTGGAGAGCTTTCACTCTACCCTTTTTAAAAAAAATACAGTTAAAATACAAAAAAGACTTCAGTTTATCTGTGAACATGCAGTAATATATGAAACTCTGGCAAATATTAATGTTTGAAACTGGCCTGCGTAATGGGAAGCTAATTTTAAAAGACCATTTGTTCTAATACAATTTTTCCAAGGAGCCAAGAACCCACCCACTTCTTCAACAATTTCAAAAACAGGTCTCAGATCTGGAAGGTGTGAAGTAAAAAAGGCAAATGGATTATCTGAATATCAGCAAATCAACAGCATGTCAGTCAAAAACATTTTTTGAGATCTTATTTTTTAAAGACATGACAGATCTAGCTGTTACTCTATGTTGAATCCAGAAAAAATGTTTAAAAGAACAGAATAGCTTTGCTATAAAGGAAATCAGTGCATCCTGATTGTGTCTATTCTTCATTAGTCAGAAAATACAAGGTGGGAAATATGAAAGAACATCATTGAATTCCATTCATGTCAACCATTCCAGTGACATTGGCCTATTATGCCCCAGTGTTTTCCCTTGCTTTTGCCATGCATCGCTGTTGGGTTTTCTTTTTCATTCTGCATTGATTTTTCCCCCTTCAGCACTCAGTTCGCTTTCCAGTTGCTGTTTCCCCAGGTTTTCTGAGAGTGGTTTTGTGCTGATTTTCCCCTTGTTTCACTTCCAAGCCAAAGGTAATTCAAAGGGGTACAGATGCCCTCAGATTTTCCCCCCTCCCGTTCCTCTGCTGCCCCTCGAACATCACTCCCCAGCCCACACTGAGGTCATTCCACCCACTCTGCACCTTCCCATGGGCATCTGTGCAAGCTCCATTTATTACTTTTTTACAAGTGGCATGAGTCTAGCAATATGAGACTATTGCTAATTTTGGATTGCTGGGGGGAAAATAAATGACAAGGGGGAAATTTACTTCTCTGGCCACTCTCTGAGAAGCCTCTTTGCAAGCTCTGAAAGGGGGGAGGGAAAGACCAGCATCGAGTTGTGTGCCACCCATCAAGCCTAGCAGCGAGCACCATGGCCACCATCAATGCTCAGCTGGTGACTGTGGGAGAAATGGGAAAAAAGCTTTAACCCAGCCAGCCAAGTATCCCAAAATACCCAGCAAGCCTCTCAAGTGCTTTGGCCACAAGCTCACTCTTTTTGTTCTCACAGCAAACTGGATTTACAGAATTTAGATCTAGCAAATGGGGAAATGCCTTCGAGCTTTTTGGAAATCTGCTGGGATGTCATGCTGGAGGGTTTTTCTCTCCGTTCCTCCCCCCATCATTTCCCCTCCTTCCCCTTCTTTTTCTCCATCCTCCTGCCCTTGAGTTCATGTAGATCTGGCCTTACTGTGCATTCTCTTGCATATGGTGGATTAAAATTGATATTTTATTGCTAGTCTCATACTGTTTATTAAAAAAATTAAAACTATGAGGAAAATACTTTTAAAAAACAATTCAAAATTGCACTTGTGGAGGAGTGTTGGATGGTGGTTACTCTTTTCCATTTTTCGCAGTGGCCAATAACAGAGAATACACAACAGAGAATCCACTAGAGTTTGGCAATAAGAAAAGGGAGCTTCACAGCTGCTCTAGTCGGTTTGAAAAATAGTTTGGTCAATTTCAGGATTTTTTAAAACCTTTGCCGGGGTTCCTCTGTTCCCTTCATTCAAGGAACTGAACCACAAAGATTTAAATGGAAAGTGCTTACTTGACGCTACTGTGCAGCTGTGATAGGGCAATTGTGTAAATTGGAAAAAAACCTTTGGACACCACCCCCCACATGTCACATTCCCATCCCGATTGAGAAACACTGTGTTTCCTTGTTGTACCTGCAGAATAAATACACTGGAGAAAAAAGAATGGTGTGTATGGCAGGCATAGAATCTGAAGTCAAGCTAAAGGCTTGACAGCCCAAATTTCTCTGCAGTGAGCCCTGTGTGCGTAATAGGCTATTCTTCCATTGCCTGCTGGAAGGTGGGAGTAGGCTGTTTCTTACTAAGTATTTGGCAGAATTTTGCCTGCATCATCATCATCGTTGTTATTTTTAAAACTGAAAGCAAAAAATAAGTCGGTTACATAGCCCAAATGGTCACCAGGTAGTAATGCATTGCATCTTAGGTCTAGGGATGCTAGACCTCTCACTAGAGTGGGAGTCCTCCCAGCATCCCAGCTCTTTGTCCACCTGCATGCGAAGTACCAGTGGGAAGAAATGGAAGGGATGTAGAATGTGCTGGCATTGGTCTGGTGTGCTGACCATTTCTGGTGAAAAAGGAGGAAGAAGAAGAAGAAGAAGAAGTAATGTATTTAGATGCTCTAGCATTTACAGAAACTCTATGGAAAAACCATAAATCTTTGTAAGTGCTAGAACATCTAAAGACATCACCTTTTTTCTGGAAGGGACATCAGCACACTGGCAGAATGCCAACACACCAGGATCTGACCCCCCCCCAATAAACGTGTGCAAACTCATGTCATCGTCCAAGTCCTCCATGTGGCGAACCCAGTACTTTTCAAATACCCACTGTTTGTAGAGCTGAGGTGAGTGACCCCTGCAGCACTGGCTTGTAGAACCACAGGATCAGTCAGCTAAGTTTGCTCCAGGGCCATTTTGACTTTCCAGTCCACTCCTGGACCTTATCAACTTTTTATTCAACCTTCTAGTCCATTCTGACGATAGTGTGGAAAGTTCTCTATCACCCCCTGTGGGAGCCTGATAGAATGCATTCCTGGCTTATTGTACCAGGTCTGCATCTGGCCTCACTTTATAATGATGTCTCCCCACCCAAACCCATGATGTTGTCAGGGTGAGGATTTCCAGTTTCTTAGAAGTGATTGTAGTTACTTGATGGCAAGGAAGATGTGCTCTGTATGTCAAAGATACCCTTAGTACTTCCAGGGGTTATCCCTGGCATTTAAAAGAAGTACCTGTTTTAAACCTTCAGGTGAGTTTTAGTTCAAACAGAGAAGAACTTGAGCTGAATGTGGCATTTGCCCAAATGGCTGACTTCAAGACAAAGATAAAACTCATGTTCTTAACAACAGCAGTTAATGATGATGATTTGCTTTCTCTACAGTACATACTTTCTCAGGAGACAATTGAAGCTCTTAGGAAACCAACTTTTGATGTCTGGCTATGGGAGCCCAATGAGGTAATGGTGTGGTGTGTAAGCAAAATCTTAACACCGACTGTGGCTGTTATTCTGTAGGCCTATCCCAGAACATTTGAGAATGAGTGCCCATAAGTGGATGCCATGGCAACTGGTTTGAAAAGCTGTAGATGAATGTTAGCTCTTTTTCAAAGAAAGAGAGTCTGTGAGAAGAGCCACGCTAGTGAGACTTCTGTAAATGAATGTAACTTGCAGAATAAGGATAAGGATCATGCAGTGCCTTGCAGATAGCCACCTATTGTGCCCATGTTCAAAAGCAATTCCATGTTCAAAGTAAATAATGGGACATTCAGATAATAGATATGCAAAGAGCCTGTAGTAGGAGCCTTTACCTCTTCTAATCAAGGGCCTTTACCTCTTAATCTGCAGTAAATGACAGTGCAGCAAACAGAGGCATTTTCTACTTTAATATTCAATTTCCTTTGAAGTTTTAAAGCATAGCTGGTTTTCAGAATGGCTTTTCACCTTTCTCCAGAGGATTGGTGAGCTTTATTTCGTATTCATCTGCTTTTGTTTCTTCTTTCACTTGTTAGTAATTTGCATAAACAATTAATTTCAGGCAACCTTATCGTATAGGCACACAATGGCTACATACTCAAGTATGCCCCCTGTTTTATCACATTTTATTTTACAGAGCTGTTGTGTTGATGTAGTTTGGAAATGTTGCACATGTGTTTCTAAATTGGAACGAGTCTACAAAGCATACTGGCTGGTCCTTAGTATACTAACACAGCCCATGGAAATCAGGAATGTGAAAAATATTTTGAGATCTGATAGATTGACATAGTTCCTTCATTGTGTTTGTGAATGTGTTTCAAACAGGTCCCAATCTATTCTACAGGCTACTGGCATATAGGCAGGCCACAGAAGTCTGGAATTTGCCAAATATATCATTTTTAAAGCTTGTTAGATTAATGGAGATCTATGAAAGATTTGTCCTATTTTATTTATCTATTTATTTTATTAGATTTATATAACACCCTCCCCAAACGGGCTCAGAGCGGTGACATTGTAGTTCTAAGGAATGCAGTTTCTTAGTAGCTGTTTTTTAAAAATGGACTGCTCTCTGTTAGGTCATTCCCCAAAATAGTTGGCAGATGGTAATTGCAAATGGATTTTTGGATGTAATGGAAACATGTTTCTATAGATTGCCTTACCCATGGTACTGAGAGTAATCACATAATTAGATACCCACTGGCTAGCAGCTCACTATATTTAGCCTTATGTTCAGAAGCAATCACATAAACCAGCATAAACAGTGTCATGTGACATCCTCTGGTAGGTTCATCATCTTGTTTGTTTGATATTTGTAGGAGTTGCTTAAATTATCTTAGCACTTGCTGAGGTTTGTGAGATATATGGGCCCATGAAGCTGCCTTATACTCAATCCGACTATTAGTCCATCAAAGTCAGTACTGTGTACTCAGCCTGGCAGCAGTTCTTTTGGGTTTCACCCTCAAACAGTAGTCTTTCACATCAGCTGTTACATGATCCTTTCCACTGGAAATGTTGGGGACTGAACCCAGGACCCAAGCAGATACTCTATCACTGAGGCATGCCCCCCCCCCATGTGTATTGAATAAGATTATAAATCACAGCTCTCTAGAATTCTTCCAATGTCAAGTGGTAACATAATGGCCTTCTTGAAGGTGACTGGCAAACAAGCATGTTTCATTCCTCATCCTTTCCTTCATCCCCTCCCTGGCAATGTGACTTAAAAGTAAACCTATGATAGGACACACAAAGAAAGATTTGCAGCCAAACTGGTGAATGCTCAGAATACAGTTCTGAAAAAGAATTTATGTCTGTGTGGTGTAGAGCCAGTTTGGTGTAGTGGTTAAGTACGCGGACTCTAATCTGGGAGAACCGGGTTTGATTCCCCACTCCTCCACTTGCACCTGCTGATGTGACCTTGGGTCAGTCACAAGCTCTGGGACAGCTGTCCTTGAAAAAGAGCAGTTTGTGTCAGAGTTCTCTCAGCCCCACCCACCTCACAGGGTGTCTGTTGTGGGGAGGGGAAGGGAAAGGAGTTTGTAAGCCGCTCTGAGACACCTTTGGGTAGTGAAGGGCGGGGTATAAATCCAATCTCTTCTTCTTCTTCTTCTTGTCTTAAAATAATATTTTTCCTGTGCATTTAAGTGTAGATAGTTCTGCTTCCTCCACGGAGAATTACAGGAAGACATCCATGCATTCAATGGGCTTAGAATGAATTTATTGATAACTTCTATTAGCTTCTGCTACTACTTTGTTTTTATGACATTCTTCTGCATTTAAAGCATTCACAGGGGTTTCAGATCAACCCATTAGCAGGTTTAACACACCTGTGTAAAAACAGTTTTATTTTGCTTTTGCCAGTGTGGTGTAGCGGTTAAGCATGTCAGACTAGGCTTACCTTAAATCGGCGGGGGACACATACGTCTTGTCAGGAACATTCCCGCACGGAAAACAAACACGCCACACCATGACGTTGCCCAGACATGACGGCAGCACGCTGGGCATGTAGCTGGGCGACGCTCTGGCAATGGAGCTGGAAACTTGATGGTACCGTCGAGTTTCTAGCTCCATTGCCAGAGCGTCGCCCAGCTATGTGCCTAGCGTGCTGGCATCACGTCTGGGCGACGGCATGGTGCAGCGGGGATGTCTTCCACCGAGGGATATTCCAGCCGGGAACCATTGTGTCCCCCGTCGAATCAAAGGTAGGTACTTGGTAACCCTATGTCAGACTAGTATCTGGGTTTGAATTCCCACCGGTGCCGTGGAAGCTTGCTGGGTGACCTTGGGCCAGGTTTGCAGCATAACCTAGCTCACAGATTTATTGTGCGGATAAAATGGAGGAGAGAAAAAATTTCTCCCATTGGGGAGAAAAATAAAAAATGTATTTTATTTTATTTGTTCTTATTTGTAAAGTACAAAAGTCAAAATCTTAATATAAACATTACTTAAACATTATATTATTGAAGAAAAAGTTATCTGTTTTAAGATTTCCTAAATAATTGAGAAACCAAGTCTACTTCTGTTGAAATGAGGCTGAAAAATGATTTTGCATTCTTAATGTGAACTACACAAACGACACAATGTTACAGTGTTTTCCTAGGCTGGGTCTGGATTCTCCAACCTGACTTGCTGTCAGGCAGTCAAATGGCACCAGCACGTTCCCTACTGGGAACTCGTTTCTCAAATATGTGGGGAGTTGATTCAGATTTGGATTGCAGCTATGCTCTTTTACTCACCCAAAATGGCCACATTGAGGTCTTGTTTTGCTCTTTTCAGGGGATTCACACCCTTAATTTGCAAATCATCCTGACTTGCCAAAGCTTCCCTGGAACCTTCATGGAAAAGAATGGATTTGGCCCTGACCTGGATAGCCCAGGCAAGCCCAATCTCATCAGATCTCAGAAGCTAATCAGGGCCAGCCCTAGCTTGTATGTGGATGGGAGACCTTCAAGGAATACCAAGGCTGGCTGGGTCGCAGAGGCAGGCAATAGCAACTTACCTTTCTGAAATGTCCAAGCCCCACTAGGGGTCACCAGAAGTCAGCCATGACTTCCAGGCACACACACACACACAAATACCCCCCAAAAGAGAAAAGAATGGATTTGAAACTACATCTCCCTTCCCAAGTGTATGACATAATATACACAAAGTACAAAGTATTTTCAATATAGAACAGTGGTGGTCATATAAAAATAACTTGACATTTTTTGTTTATTTTTCAGATGCTGAGCTGTTTAGAACATATGTATTATGATTTAGGGTTAGTGAAAGACTTTAAGATCAACCCTATCATACTGAAACGGTGGCTGGTAAGACTTCGAATGGATTTTGCATAGGTTTCTAAATTTGTATTATATTAAAAACTAGGAAAAATTCCCGTTGTGGAAATAAATACAATGGCCTCTAGAATGAGGCTCTGGGCAGGTGTCCCAGCCTTGGACACTCAGTGCCAATTTGCTGTGGCGACCTCAGGGAGATGGGACTTTTCTTCATATGTGATAGCAATCCCCATTAGTGCAAAAAAACTGGAGCAAAATAATAAGAGAGATTAACAGCATCCTGAACTGCAAATTGCTGTGTGACCCGAAGGTGGTTCTATTAAATATTCTACTAAATAACCTTTGAGAAAAGGACATATCTTTTTCTATGAAGTCTTAAAGTACATCTCACATATTCCAGAAACTCCAAATCATACCCTTTAGAACAGAGTTTATCTGCATTTTTAAAATATTGAAAAGGGGGTGGGGGAACAGAAAAAAGACTCAGCAAAGTACTGACAAAGTGCTATATCCTCAGCTTCTCTTGCTGTTAACTGACTGTATGACTTTGAAAGGTGTAGTGGAAAATGGAGACTTTTTGCTCTCCCAGGTACTGTGCAAAGGGGAAACTTACACATCTGTCTCTGAAGATGTGCAAATTCTCCTTTCTAAAGCCAGAAGCGCAAAATGTGGAAGTACCAGTCCATTGCTTCAACCATTCCTCTTCAAACTTTTGTAAAGCAGCTCCATCTTTCTCATCCCTGGTCAAACTGACCATACCCAAAGGGAGATGTCACTGTAGGTAAAAGGAACTATGAAATAGAAGGCAACTTGAAACAAATCATTAAAGGAAGATTCTGCCTTTTAAAAAACGTTTCCTACAGGAAAAATATAGCTCACTAGCATAGCAATGGGCTCCAAAGATTTGTATTGCTGGGATTTAGTACTGTTCTTATTTCCTTAACAGTTTTTTTCTCTTTGTTTTTTATAGCTGTGCATTAATGACAATTATAGAAACAATCCATTCCATAATTTTCGACACTGCTTCTGTGTCACCCAGATGATGTACAGCATGATCTCACTCTGCAGTCTCCAGGTGTGTCCGTCTCTGGCCACTTTAGCACTCACCATTTCCACTAGTTTTACTAGATAAATGCATTTATATTAATAAAGCATCATGAGCATCATGGATTTGCTTTCATACCAAGTCAGGCCATGGTCCATCTAATTCAGTTTTGCTTGCTCTGACTGCTGGCAGTGATTCTCTAGAGTGTCAGGCAGAGAAAGATCTTCCCTCAGCACCTGGGACCTGAGATGTCAGGGATTAAACCTGGGACCTTCTGCATTCAAAGCATGTGCCCTACCAGTATACTACAGTTCATGAAATCTATGTCCTCTTGCCCACAAGAATTGTTTTTCCCAGCTGTGCTTGCAACTTTAATGTTGGAAGACATAATGTACAATCATTTTCCTTTATCCATGAAGCTGGGTGGGAGTATGTACTCCGTCCTGAACTAAAGTAATTAATTTACATTCACTGAGTGAATCAGATGTTGAACTGAGATGAAAAGGGAGTCAACAATACTGGCAAATTCAGGGACTCCTGATCATGTCAACCAGAGATACACAACTGACAGGTCATGAAAAACAGCAGGACCGCAGCATGATTTTGTTTCCCCCTGTTAACTTCTTATTGATGGCCAGGTGACTCAAAATATTGAGGAGGGAAGAAATGTCTTGGCTTCCAACCAACTGGTACAAAGCCTGACCTGAGTGCCTTACAGTAACATTGCATACCAACAGCAATTTACTAGAAAAATGGTAGGGAGGGGCTGTGGCTCAGTGGGTGCGGTCACATGTGCGAAATAAACCAGGGGGGGGGGAGGCTATTCCCTCCAGAGGAATTTGACTCGCAGTTGCGCAATCACACAGTTCTTTGAAGCTGCAGGGGCAGCCCGCCACTGTGTGATCAGACACAACCGCGGGTGAGTCTGGTTTTGGGGTTGTTTTTTTTTGCCATTTCCTATTCGCTTAAATGGGGAATCGATGAATCACATCACAGCACTGAGCACTCCCTATGGAGTGTCCGATGATGCACATACTGAGAAGGGGGGAAACAACAGCATGGAGTCAGGATGGCCTGACCAGACCATCCTGATGCCATGAGAGTGCGCTGGAGCGGTCACACAGGGGAAAGTCCATCCATGGCCCGTAGCAACCCATTTGCTACCAGACTTTCCCCGGTGTCTTTTTACTCCACTTCTGTGGCAGAGCAAAACGGGTTACCGACGGGTGTGGGGCGCTTCCCACCCGGCATTCTCGCCTATGGCGCAGCTAATTGTGTGTGTGATCGCACCCAGTGGTAAAGCATCTGCTTTGTATGCAGGAGGTCCCAGGTTTCATCCTCAGCATATCCAGTTAAAAGGATGAGGTAGCAGCAGGTAATGTAAAAGACTCTACCTGGGACCCTGGAAAGTCACTGCCAGTCAGAGTAGAGCTTGGTAGACCAATGGTCTGACCTCCAGGGCAACTTAATGGTTGCACTGTGGCTATGGCTCAGTGGTAGAGCCGGGGGACGCGGGGGGACGCCATCCCCCCGGGTGAGGTGCGGGAGGGCGGGGCCTGGAGCTCCCTGCTGGTGCCCGCTGGAGGTCGCCGCCGGCTGTGGGGAGGACACACTTCCGGTGATGTCAGGGGGTGTGGCATATGCTAATGAGTTATGCTAATGAGTCCCCTAGCTCTTTTTCTACGAAATGACCCCTGGGTAGAACCGTAGGTCCTTGCCCATGGAAGGTCCCAGGATGAGTTCCCAGAATTTCCAGGTAAAAGGATCAATTGGAAGTCCTCTAACTGAGACCTGGGATAGCCTCTGGCAGTCAAAGCAGACAACACTAACCTTGAGAGACCAGTGCTTTAACTCAGTATGAGGCAGCTTCATGTGTTCACGCATACTGTGGAATGACTGCTCGCAACCTGAGATATCTTTGCCTTTAAATAAAGCTTCTCTAGTATCAGGCAAAACCAACTTCTTTTTTCCATTGTGCTGTTAATTGTACATCAGAGACATGCCTGAATGATTTGTTACTGCTACCCAACGCCCCTCCCCATTTTGAACTTTACCGACAGTACATGTAGAAATTGTGAAACCTTATAAATGATTTTTCTCAATGTTTAAATGTGTTTTTGCTTTATTACAAAAGCTATATGGAAATTGGAAGGATGCATTTCTTTTCCTCCTGCTTAGGTAAAACTTTCCCAAGCTGATATCTTAATGCTAATGACAGCATCAGTGTGTCATGATCTGGATCACCCAGGATATAACAACACGTATGTATCCTTTGGGGCAGGGACAATTAGTCATACAGCCTATATTTGGACAAATTCAGATCAAAACATGAACTGCAATCTAGGACACTGAGTGTATATTTAAACACATTCAACTAAATCCAACTGAAATTAACTGAGAACACTTAAGTATTAATTTGATGGTTATTTCATAGTTTATACCAAGATATTTAGTACGTAGAGCTGGCTTTTTCTCACAGTGTATAACAGGCTTGACCAAACTATCACAAAGAAACTGTTACCTGATGGTTGTCTATTTAGCAGTGCTGGTCCTCTAGGATCTTCTAGGACCAGCTGTTCTAAATCCTGAGTGGAAATTGTCTCCCAGATTTAAAAATCATAGGCCCACATTACAGAGTGAATGGCTAGCCCCATGTGCTCCATAAGATGTGAAGCAGATATACATGTTTATTTTACTGAGTGTAAGCATGGTGGGAAGCTACTGCCAATTGTGGCTCCCTGCTGAGTGTACTTTCTGAGAGATAAACACATGTATCTGTATTATGCCTGTAGTGTACTTGCTAACCTGAAATTTGTGCACAATTACTTTGTCTAGGAAGTAACTATGCTTGACAAATGGAAACTTCCACTTTATACAATTAGAACTCATTTATAGTAGCAAAGCAGTGGCACAGATGTTATAGGAGAACACATGCTTGACATAATCTTGAAAAATGTCTCTAATACGTGTGATAAAAAAATTAAGGTCAAGGCCGATGGTGCAAAATCAGGTAAAAATATATTTTATTATTCAGTTAAATTTCCAAAAATTCCCTAGATGTTTCGCCAACAGGTTTCATCAGGGGAATCCATTCATCTCACAGCTGTTCTTCAAAAAGAGTAAAAGTCCTTTTGAAGAACGACTGCAAGACAGATTCCCCTGATGAAGCCTGTTGGTAGAACACATAGGGAATTTTTGGAAATTTAACTGAGTAATAAAATATATTTTTGCGAGTGGGGGATCCCCCGATTTGGCAGGCTCCAATCCGCTGCTGGCCAGCTAGCCAAGGAGAAGCCCTGCCCCCGCCTGCCCACCATCTGGGCACAACATCCCTAGCATGATGACATCATTTGAAAGTGACATCATCACGTTAGGGACGCTGCACAGCAATGCTCTAGTATTTGGGGCAAAACTCTATGGTAACTATAGAGTCATCCTGCTGGGGACATCATGCACAGCGACGTTGCCCCGCCCCTGCACTCCTGGAGAGCTACCAGGGAGCAAAGAGGACCTGGCAACCTAAACAAAAGCCTCTCAACATAAAGATTTAAGTCACTGTGAATAGTTTAAGAAACTCTCATTAGCCAGAAACATAAGAACTAAAGTTAGTGCATGTACTGATTTTACCTCAGCGTTATCTACATTGACTTTCCTTAAAAATGTTATCCTTGATTTCACCTGAGCTTTCCTCTCTATGTTGAATAAAATATGTTGTTGATTTGGAATATTAAAATTTCTTAAGTTCCATTTAAATCATATAAGATAAAGGGGGCTCCCATTCCTTCCCTCAGGATCCTGGGCTGAGCAAACAGCCAAAATATTACACTGTGTGACAGGATGGGACAGCCAGAATTCTTCAGGAAAGAAGAAAACAGATCACTAGGGCAGTTCAGTCACAAAAGGGAAAGATGAACAGATGGGAAAACCTTACCTCTGAGGTAGGGAAGTGGACTGGGCCACCATAGAGCTCACTGAAGGAAGAGTGTAACAAATACATGTGTAACAAATGGTGGTAGTGAAGAGTGCCATCAAATTTTAGCCACCTTAAGGTGTCCCTGTGCAGTTTTCCAGGCAAGAAATAAATAGAAGTGGTTTGCCATTGCCTGCCTCTACATAGTAACCCCGGACTTACTCAGGGGCAGGGCTATTTTTGGGCAGGAACGCACAGGAACGGAGTTCTGGCTGGCTTCAGAGTTGGCCACACCCACTACACCCAAGCCAAGGGAAGGCAGTTTAAACTGCCTCCCCTTCCCTCCAAGGGCCGGCTTGCCTGGGCTCCTCACAGCCACAGGGCGCCCGGGCAAGCCAAGGGAAGGCATGGGGTGTGGCCTATTATGCTAATTAGCTGCACTGTCAGGGGTGTGGCCTAATATGCTAATGAGTTTCTGCTGCTGGGTGTGGCCTATAATGCTAATGTGTTCCTGCTGGGCTTTTTCTACAAAAAAACCCCTGCTCAGGGGTCTCCCATCCAAGTACTAATCAGGGCCAACCCTGCTTAGCTTCCGAGATCTGAGAAGACAGAGCTAGCCTGGGCCATCCAGGTCAGGCCATGTAACAAATATATAATTAAAATTGTCTGTGCCAAACATAGCTGAGGCACAGAGTTTGAAATCTATGGCTTTCTTCCTATCCTTCTTACCACAGATGTCTAGAATAAATAACATTGAAGCTCCTTATGTCTGAATTTCTGCCTTTTGAAAACAGAGTTTTTAAAAAAATACTTCAGAAAGAATGTTCAAATATTCTGTGTCACAGAAACCCATTATAGCTAACTACAGCCCTGACTATAATTATATCTCTTGGTGGCGTAGAGGTTAAGATGCTGAGCTGCAGACATGAAGATCTGTAGTTCAGCAGTTCGAGACCCTAGTGCCATGTGACGGACTGAGCTCCCATCTCTGGCCCCAGCTCCTGCCAACCTAGCCGTTCGAAAGCAAGAAATTGCAAGTAGATAAATCGGTACTACTTCGGTGGGAAGGTAACAGTGTTCCGTGCACCTTGGTGTTTAGTCATGCCGGCCACATGAACATGGAAATGTCATCAGACAGCGCTGGCTCTTCGGCTTTGAAACGGAGATGAGCACCACCCCCTAAAGTCGGATTCAACTAGCTTTCGAGCAAGGGAAATCTCTACCTTTTGTATATATTATACATTATTCACAGTAAAATGTTACAGTAAATAATATAAAGACTTAGGACTAGAAGCAATAAAAAGTAAATGGCAGGGACCAGGACTCAGGAAAGGGGCAGGTACACACAAGAAGGAACATATATGCAAACACAGAAGGAGAAAGAGAGCTAGAATTTTGTTTACTGCATTCACTGCAAAGTTCTCTTCCCATTACTGAGTTCA